GTGACGGAATATTCTGTTCAGAGAAGCTGGAAACTTACGTTATGTTATTCAAAATAAAAGTGCAATGCAAGAGCCTTGGTAGTACAGGGGTTTAAGGCACCCTGTTATTAAGCTGGTTATTAAGACCAGCTGCCTGCAATTACTGTAAGTCCGAATCTCACCAGGCTCAAGGTTGACTCAGCCTTCCATCCTTTCTAAGGTAGGTGAAATGAGGAGCCAGTTTGTGGGGGCAATAAGCTGACTTTGTATAAATATACAAAAGGATGAAGGCTATTGCTGAGCACATTGTAAGCCGCCCTGAGTCTTTGGAGAAGGGCGGCATATAAATCAAATAAAAAAAAAAAAATCTCCATACCACTAGCTCATTCCAAAACTGATGCAATACAGTGGTAGACTATCTGAACATGCTCTTCAGCAGGTCTTACATGTTGATCACAGTTTTACTGCTGGGGAGGGAAGACAATGTGCATAGCTCAGGTATGCTGTGTTGTGCCCTTTTATTTTAATATTAAAATTCCCTCTTCTCTGGAATTTCCTGAAACTTCCAAGCTCATCAGAACAGGAAGTCTGTATCAAATGTATCAGTGTAAGGAGAAAAAGCAAAGAAATGTGTCGCTGGTCAGACAACCTGTGGTATCAAGTAGGAAGAATGTTGTTGCTTAAATGCTAATGAAGTAGAGTTTGTGCATCATTTCAGAAAACCCATCAGAATTTGTTATTGTTGCTACCATAGATTCAACTAAATTTCCTTCTTGAGACTACTGTAAATTATAGGTAGTCCTTGATTTACAACAGTTTATTTACGCACAGTCACTCAAGCACTCGTCACTTCCTGCCTGGACTACTGCAATGCTCTCTACATGGGGCTCCCTTTGGGGTGCACCCAGAGGCTGCAGTTAGTCCAGAATGCGGCCGCGCGGGGGATTATGGGAGCGACGGGGCGCTCACATATGACACCTCTCCTGCGCGAGCGGCACTGGCTTCCTGTGGTCTTCCGGGTGAGCTTCAAGGTGTTGGTGACCACCTTTAAAGCGCTCCATGGCTTAGGGCTGGGGTATCTGCGAGACCGCCTTCTGCCACCAATAGCCTCTCACCGACCAGTTCGCTCGCACAGAGAGGGCCTCCTCAGGGTGCCGTCGGCCAGACAGTGCCGGCTGGCGACCCCCAGGGGGAGAGCCTTTTCTGTGGCAGCACCTGCCCTCTGGAATGACCTACCCCCTGAGATACACACGATATCAGACCTCCGGACTTTTCATCGGGCCCTGAAACACACTTATTCCATCTAGCCGGGCTGGCTTGATCCCATCCTCTCAGTTTTAATTTAATTCGGTTTTAATTAGGTTATTTTAAATCTTGGGTCAAAATTATTTAATTGTTTTTTTAAACTGTTTTAAAATTTTATATGCTATGTTTTATCTCGACTGTACACCGCCCTGAGTCCCGCAGGAGAAGGCGGTATAGAAATAAAATAAAATAAATAAATAAATAAATAAATTTAGTGATCTTTCAAAGTTACAACGGTACTAAAAAAAAGTTTTTCACAATTACCACCTTTCCAGCATCCCCATGATCATGTGATCAAAATTCAGATGCTTGAGAACTGGTTCATACTTAAGACCGTTGTTGTGTCCCAAGGTCATGTGATCACCGTTTGCGACCTAACAAGCAAAGTCAATAGAGAAGCCAGATTCACTTAACAACCAGGTCACTAACTTAACAACTGCAGGGATTCACTTAACAATTGGGGTGAGAAAAGTCATAAAATGGGGCAAAACTCACTTAACAAATGTCTCACTTAAGAACAGAAATGTTCGCCTTAACTGTGGTCGTAAGTCGAGGACTACCTGTAGTGTGCTGCTGTCATTTTCCATATGACTTGAACTTTGATACTCTTAGCAAACTGCTACTGTTAATATGATTTATTGGGTTCGGGATTTTCTGCAGGGGTGAAATGTAAAATTTGTTACTACCGGTTCTGTGGGCGTGGCTTGGTGGTGGTGGTAATGTGACTGGGTGGGCGTGGCCAACTTTTTTTTTAAAAAAAATTCAAAGCATTTTTTCTAATGCTTTGAAAAGCCTCTGCCGATCAGGCAACTCAGCTGGGATCGTCAGAGAGGCTTTTTAAAAAATACGTCTCTGCCTATCAGGCAACTCAGCTGGGATCGTCAGAGACTTTTCAAAGCATTTTTTTTTAACCACCTCTTTGGGCAAGAGGTTGCAGAAAAAAATGCTTTGAAAAGCCTCTGACTATCCCAGCTGAGCTGCATGATCATCAGAGGCGTTTTTTTTTTTTACTTTTAAAAGCATTTTTTTGTCGGAAGAGGTGGTAGAAAAAATGCTTTTAAAAGTAAAAAAAAAAGCCTCTGATGATCCTGCGGCTCAGCTGGGCATGGTGGTGATGGTGAGGGCAGGGATTTTTGCTACCGGTTCTCCGAACCACCACCCGCCATCGCTACCGGATCAGGCGATCCGGTCCAAACCGGAGCATTTCACCCCTGATTTTCTGTCTTCACTGTGAGTTACATTGTGTTGTGGGGGGGTGCACTGAGGGAACTCAACCAATCTCATTGTACATATGTTGTACACTGACAATAAAGATTTGAATTTGAATTAGTCTCAATAGCATCTACAGACAGTGAAACCTATAAGGTTAATAGTACAAAAGAATGCTGGGTTTCACCTGCTGCTTTTCTATTTTTATTAAATCTTTTCTGTGTTTTCCTGCACTATTTGATGTTTCAAAACACCATCTTCGTGAGGAAGTATTATTACAGCTCAGTGTACAGGAAGTCCTTGACTTAAGGCCACAATAAAGAAAAGCCATAAAATGGGGAAAAACTCACTTAACAAATGTCTCACTTAACAACAGAAATTTTGGGCTCATTTGTGGTCGTAAGTCGAGGACTACCTGTATAAGGTTAAATTGGTACTTGAAGAAAATGTTCTGGTAATAAATGCACATCAATATTGACTGCTGTGCTGCAACTAAAGGCAACCCATGGAATGAAGTTGCATGGCTGGAATTACTAGTGATGCTGACTTGCATAATGAGTGGTTTGATTGCAGATATGTTTCTTTCTGAACTCCTTTCAATGGATTTGGCCTACACAGTGGCTCCATTAAAATTCATTGGTTGTCCTGGACATTGCTGCCAGTGTTTAGCATCTGGAAACCTTTAGCCTAATTCACAAGGTTAGAAATGCTTCTTTGTTTGGACAAGCATGGGCGTCTTGTCCTGTCTTTTTCACAAATATGATAACTAGATTACTTGAGGGTCCTTGACCTTGTCAAATCAGCAAGAAGCAGCATATTGTTAAGGTTACTTTCTCTTTTCATGTTCAGCATATCCCTTTCACATAGATAAAGAAAACTTTGACCAAGTTTAAGAAACGTAAGAACAAAATTAAGGTGCAATTGCCAAGGATGAATTTGGGGCAAAGTTTTTCTCATAACTGGCTGAATTTGTACCAGAAATTAATCTATAGCCAACTTATTCACAAATGACTGAATTAACCTACTTGCCCAAGATTTATTCTTATAAATTAGTAATACTGACTAGGTTTGCCAAAATTTTGAGTCAACCACATTGTAATCCAGCATGTTGTGCTTATCCATTTATGATTTATTATGGCAAGTTCAGTGGCAGATTGATTCATTTATTTGACCGCATTTATAAATCAACCGCTTTGATTCTGGGCGGTGTACATGAGGAAAACAGCAATGATATATATAAAAAATTAAAAATAAGTAATTAAAATTCTGATATTTACCATATTAGTAAATAATTAGAAAAAAAAATAATGCACTCTATAAGCTATTCTTAGGCCAGTGGCTCATTAGAGCAAGATCATCTTGAGGATTTCCCTGAATGCAAGAAGGATATGGGTTCTCCTCCAGGGTAAGCCTGTTTCTTAAAGTAGGATTAGAATGTTCCTGTTTTAAAAGAGGGCTACAAACAGTGAGAATCAGTTTTGTATAGTGTAGTGTTAAGGCATCAAGCTAGAAACCAGGAGCCATGAATTCTAGTCCTGCCTTATGTGTGAACCTAGAAAGGTGACTGGGTTAAGCTCTCTCTCTGTCCTAGGAAGGAGGCAGTGCTGAACCACTTCTCAAAAATCTTGCCAAGAAAACTACAGGAACTTGTCCAGGCGGGTGCCAGGAGTCAAAAATTGATTTGAAGATAAAGAGAAATGCATTCATCATTCATGTTGTTGGAAACATGGAAACCAGAAAAGCTGTATAAAGTTTAAATAAGTTACTGCGCACAGGCACATACACACATTTATCCTTCCTTGGTAAAGAAATATTAGGCTGTGAGCCTATGGCCTTTCAAAAATAACTCCCATTAACCTTACTTCAGAGTTAAGATGTATTTAGTATTATCAGGCTATATTGTTACACTATTTTAGGAGTCATCCCAGTTGATGACAATCAAACTTACATTGAATTGATAGATCTATTATGTATTTAGTCATAATGCTGCAATAGTTAGTAATTTGCAGGCTGTCATTAATCCTAAAACAAGAAAATTAGCAAAAAAATCGTGATAGAAATGTTTAATAGAGAAACGTTCTGAATAGTTTTTTAGCAGTTGCACGAATTTTTAGGGGAAAGCAAAGCAACGGCAAAGACCATCTTCACTGAATTAGTGGATAATGCTGGACAGAAAGCTACAGACTCCGACATTAACGTCTTAGCAACAGCCGATAAACATTTTTATTTCCCAATTACTTCCGCCCTACTTCTCCTTGCCTTCACTTCTGACCACGTGACTCCCCCTCCGCCTTCCATCCCTGTTTTCGATCCTAGCGAAGCCGCCTCTTTCAGTGCCGCGGAACCAATGGGCGTTTGGCGTGACGAAGCTTCACGATACGTTTCCACCAATAGCGACGCGAAAGAAATGATGAAGATGGCGGCACTAGCGGCGCTCGGTAGTTTTAGGGTGCTGAGCTCTTGCAGGCGGAGCAGGTGGGATTTTTTTTTTTTTTTTTTTAATTTGTGCGAAGAGTTGATGTGTTAACTACAGTCCTCCCTCCAGGCTCCAGCCTTGATATGATGGGGGTGGATGGAGGGAGAGGAGTTAATCTGTTTTTCAGTATTTCCCATCGTGTAGGCAAGCAGCCTTTCCAGTTCGTGAGTCATAATAACTCGTTCCTAAGCAGTCAAAAAGGCAGCCCTAAGAAGGATTTGGGCATTTTTGTCCCTGCTTGTGAACCGCTTTGGTCTGGCTTTTCATGTCAAAAAGGGTTGGGGATCTCAGGCATAGAAATAACTCTTGTTTCTTAATAGTTACTATTAGATAGAAATTAATAGATGTAAAACCCATAAAGCTTGAGCTCTTTAGTTGCATCTTCTTGAACACCCAAGCTTTTATAGTGCGATGTGTATGTCCTGCTATGTACAAAATGGAGTAAGTAGTGTTTTATAGCATTCCAAGTCTTTAGATCACTACTCTGTGTTAATTAAAGTGACGTGAAATGTAGATGCAATAAGACCTGAAAGATACTGAAAAAAAATCAGTTCTCCTGAAACTTTAGAGAAAAATATTAACCCAGTTATAGTTAATTGCTTATTTCACATACTGCCAATTCAATGCTTTGAAAAGTTAAGCCGTTGTTAGGTTAATTTAGCCAAATGCAAAATTGTTAGCCCCTTTTTATTTTGCAGATTTGTTTATAATAATAGTGTCATTTATAGAATTGTACGTTCAGTACAATGTTTCATTTTCTCCCCCGGCTATATAAAATTTTGTTTCAGACCTGTTTCTATGCTTGTTGGTTTTTAAATGAAGTGAAATGAATTGTATTTATTTATTTATTTATTTATTGGTTCAATTTATATGCTGCCGTTCTCCGGAGACTCAGGGCAGCTTACAATGCATTAAGCAATAGCCTTCATACTTTTGTATATACCTGCTTAGTAGGGCTTTCGGGCCCCCCTAAGTGGTGTTCTTTTTATACAAAGTCAGCTTATTGCCCCCACAATCCGGGTCCTCATTTTACCTACCTCGAAAGGATGGAAGGCTGAGTCAACCTTGAGTCTGATGAGATTTGAACTTGCAGTAATTGCAGACAGCTGGTGTTACTTAACAGCACTTTAGTCTGCTGTGCCACCAAGGCTCTTTGTAGTGCTTTTAATTTCAGCTAGACAAAATACATTAGAAATTTTAAATCTATGGCTGAAAGGACTGACTCACAGGAAGGCTATACAGGTAGTCCTCGACTTACAACAATTTAGTGATCACTCAGTTACAACAGCACTGAAAAAAGTGACCGATGACTGTTTTTCACACAACCATTGTCCCCATGCTCATGTGATCAAAATTCAGAGGCTTGGCAACTCTCATATTTATGATTGATACAGTATCCCAAGGTCATGTGATCTCCTTTTGGGACCTTCTTACAAGCAAAGTCAATGGGGAAGCCCAATTTGCTTAATAGCCATGTTACTACCTTAACAACTGCAATGATTCACTTAGCAACTGGCAAGAAAGGTCATAAAGTAGGAGAAAATTGACCTAAAAAATGTTTCGCTTAGCAACAGAAGTTTTGGGCTCTATTGTGGTCTTAAGTCGAGGACTACCTGTACACTGAGCTGTAATAATACATCCCCATAAAGATGGTGTTTTAAAACATCAAATAGCGCAAGGAAGCACAAAAAAGATTTAATAAAAATAGAAATGCAGCAGGTGAAATCCAGCATTCTTTTGTGTTATTAACATCATAGGTTTCACTGTCTGAAGATGGTATTGAGGCTAAGAGTAGCAAAGTTCAAGTCATATGGCAAATGGCAGCAGCACACTACAGGTAGTTCTCGACTTACGACCACTATTAAGCCCAAAATTTCTGTTATTAAGTGAGACATTTGTTAAGAGGTTTTCCCCATTTTATGATTTTTCTCACTCCCAATTGTTAAGTGAATCCCTGCAGTTGTTAAGTTAGTGACCTGGTTGTTAAGTGAATCTGGCTTCCCTATTGACTTTGCTTGTCAGAAGGTCGCAGAAGGTGATCACATGACCTTGGGACACAACAATGATCTTAAGTATGGGTTTTACTGTTTTAATTTTTAAATGTTTTTATAATGGTTTTCTAAATGCATTGTAAGCTGCCCTGAGTCTCTGGAGAAGGGCGGCATATAAATTGAAATAATAATAATAATAATAATAATAATAATAATAATAATAATAATAATAAAAAAAAAAAAAACCAGTTGTCAAGCATCTGCATTTTTATCACATGATCATGGGGATCCTGCCAAAGTTGTAACTATGGAAAACGGTGATAAGTCACATTTTTCAGTAATGTTAAACAGTCATTAAGCAAACTGTTGTAAGTCAAGGACTACCTGTAGAAGAAATAACTGTAGATAGTTGTTTGGTTTCTGATTTATCTGAGGTTGTCCAGTGAGAGAGAACAGATTAAAAAAAATCACTGCTCATTTCAGTTAACAGTATACTATTATCTCTGTAATGTTCATAGGCATCTACTTTATTTCAGGAAAACTATTAAAATTGTGGTGAAATTATTATAGGCCACAGCTTGTCCTCCTATCACAGATATTGCTACAATAATTTTTATAGCTGATGAAAAAAAAGATAGCTATGACTTCCCCCAAGTTTACTTACAAAGCAAATAAGTTTACCAATACTTGGTTTGTAAAATGCCTTCTTTGTGGAATAAATCTAGGTAGAAGTACACAGAAGGAAATGCATAAAATGAATTCACCCTGGGATATACATAGCCCTTAGATGAGTTATTCCCAAACCTGGTGATGTTTAACTACTGCTTGAACATCATATCATTGAACATGGCAGTTTAGACTTTAAAAATGTATTCAGAGTACAGTTACAGCAGTTATTTTCTTTTACACAAAGTGAAAAAAATCCTTGCCTTAATTCCTTTTCCTTTTCCTCTTAAATAGATGGCTAGCAAACAAGGAATTCATGTCATTAGCTTTCTTCCTACCTTCTTTTTCACACAGAAAGGCATATAACCCACCACAATTTAACAGCATTTGTTATATCATCCAAGGAGGAATTTATTTTGCATCAGAACAGTGGAAATGACAGTTGCATCTGATGTCAGGATTCAAGTAAATAGAAAAATTATAGAAATATAGAGTTGGAGATCACTGGTTTTCTTTTTCTTTCTTTTTTTCCTTGCACTCTTTTCCCCATTTTCTTCTGATCTTTTTTATTTTTATTTTTATTTTATTTATTTTTATTTGTATTTTATATTACAATAAATGCTAATTCAAATTCTAAGAAAAGGATGCAAGTATAAAAGGCTGAGGTTTGCATCACTATAAATGTGAATCATAGTTTTATCAGATGCCTATGCATCAAAATGGTGTCACTGATGCTTTTTAAGGGTCTACAACGTTAGTATTTAGGCCATAGTTCTCGCAATTCCAGTCTCTGCTTGCTGGCTGACCCTGAGGTTTTGAGGTTTCTTGTTTATATTTGTCTTATCTCCTTTCGTCGTGACTTTTGTACTGTCATCGGTTTTTGTATTATCAGTCTAATTTTTATTTTTTGGTCTAACAAGGACATTCCATTCTTATCTTTTCCATGTAGCTGTTCTCTTGCTATCTGGCAGTTAATGACAAGTCCGTTCTGTGCCATGGAAAACAGAGCTTGTATGTCAAGGATAAGAACACAGTGGATAGCATCCTCTGCCTCTGGAGAAACCCAAACTTATTCTAGTAATGGGCAGATCTATCTCAGTGAGAGCTGCGTGAAGGTATGATTCCCTGGAGGTCCACAGACCTATGTAGCCATTGGATGCCTCCAGGAGTACAGTACAGACTGCTGATTGTTGTGCCCACATAACGCACCATTTTATGAATCTGTCATAGAGAAATATAGGTGTAAATGTATGTTTGACTCAATCCAAAGGATACAAATTAGAGGTATGCAATATTTACATTTGAAAACAGCAAGGATTATTTGGATTTTCGCAGGGGCATTGGTCCTAAGCATCTTAATAGGATAATATTCTGAGATAGTAGAGTCTCAGGAAAGTAATGTATTTAGGTTAATAGGAATACTTACTTTCCTGAGCTGCATGGTTACCATGCCCCCTCCCACCCTACTGTAGACACTGATCCATAAGGAGTAGCCAATGGATATATTCCTAAATCACATCCAGAGTGTTCTTACCCACTTCGGATGCTGAATGAAATGCTTCTGCAGTATAGCCACAATATAAACTGTGTATATAACTTTATGAAACTGGTGTGATTATGTGTAACTGGGGTAACTCTGCAATTTGTAGTTACTTAATTACTTAATTTCAATCTCTTAAGGACACAAGTTTCAAAACATTTGTTTTAGCAGAGGCTAAGAAGAAGAAAGTTAAATATAATGTAGGTAGTCCTTGACTTATAACCACAGTTGCTAATTTATGTTGCTAAGCAAGATAGTTAAGTGAGTTTTGCCCCATTTTATGACCTTTGCTACCAGTTGTTAAGTTACCACGACGATGGTTGTTAAGTAAATCTGGCTTCCCCATTGACTGCCTGTCAGAAGGTTGCAAAATATGGTCACATGAACCTGGGACAACCGTCATAAATATGAGTCAACTGCAAGCACCTGAATTGTAGTCACATGACCATGGGGATGCTGCAATGCTCATAATGGTGAAAAATGGCTGTAAGTCACTTTTTTAATGCCGTTGTAACTTTGAAGGGTTACTAAACGAATGATTGTAAATTCAAGGACTGCATGCTTAGGAATAAAGAGGCACCTTGTTACACTTCTAGAAATCAAAGACTACTTTGAGGAAGTATAATCTTCAAGGTTGACTAGTTTGGTGTAAGAATAAATGTTTATTGCATGGTCTAAAAATAAGCTATACACTTGTCTTAGTGTGCTCTCTCAAACAAAATCCCTTGACATATGTGAATAAATTACAATAAACCTCGTTCGTTTTGTCCTAATTGCTTTAACTGCTACAAAGATTTGATTCAACTGATCAAACAGAAGACAACATTCGGTTTGGTTTTAGTTAAAGGCAACAAAGGATTAGAAAAATTGATTCTGCTATTTGGTTCTACTTTGAGACTTTCACTTACTAAATAAGGCACATAGAGCATATGGCAAAAAAAATGTTGACAGACTGATTGGCATAATTTTGCTATGCATTCTGTACCCGAATTCTGTTTTTGTGCTCACCATTCCTTTGAAGCCATTAATAGTTGAATTCAAATGGATAATAAACATTGTTCACAAATGTTTGCCTTTCTGTATTGACAGAGGCTGTTGGAGATTGCAGAAGGGTCTGAATTTCTCAGGCTGCAGGTAGAAGGAGGTGGTTGTTCAGGTTTCCAATACAAATTTTCCTTGGATACAGTTGTCAATTCTGATGACAGGTGAGCACATAGATTAAACTGCATATGACAGATGAGAGAATTGTAGAACTGTGGACAAAGAAGGATGGTGGTTGAATAACAATTCCTTTGCCCCCAAATTCATATTTTACTGTTCTCTGCAGTTGGACATATACATATCATTTCCAGGGTTTATAGCAAAATATATTTAATTATGGGGAGGGGGAAGTACTGGACCTGGATACACCAGAGCCAAGTCCTTACGCAATTGTGACGCACCATTGGGTGACTTTGAGCCAATCATTCTTTCTCAGCCTATTCTATTTCATAGGGTGAGACTGGTGGATAACATTGGGTGGAGGAGACTCAATTTAAATTGTTTTGTGTTCTCTTTTCACCTGTCTATTCAGGTAGCCTTTATATTACTATAAAATATTCAGTTCTAAACGTGTACCTCTAGATGACTCAAAACAATTAAAAATAACGCAACAACAAATCGTAAATAAAATTTAGGGTAATTGGACAAGATTCCTAAAAGATTTCCAGCTTCCTCTGAATGTTTTGTTTGAACCAAGTTTAAAACTACAGCTAAAATATTTTGGATTGGTGCAAATACCATGACATATTGTCTGTGCTCCTTTTCCAGAGTGTTTGAGAAAGGCGGTGCCAGAGTGATTGTGGACTTGGACAGCTTAAACTTCGTGAAAGGAGCAATGGTGGACTTCAACCAGGAGCTAATTCGCAGCTCGTTCCAAGTAGTGAACAATCCACAGGCAGAACAAGGTTGTTCTTGTGGGTCATCTTTCTCAGTTAAACTTTGATCGAACTACTCCGTATGGACTGAATGATGAAGAAAAATTCCCTTTTTTTTTTCCTGTTTTCCAGTTCAGCTGAATAACTGGCTTAGTGTGTGGTACTGCATGATGAAAGAAACTATCTTAGCCAAGACTCAGTTAAGAACTGATTTACCCAAGCCTGAATGTAAAATGAATTAATCTCATTTGGTATCTGTGAGTCTCCAAGTTTTTGTTTAAGAGGGCAGATCTAAGCAATCAGCTTCTGCTCTAATGTCATGAACTATTTATTTATTAAAATCTTTTCTGATTTTTATTTTATTTTAAAACCTTCCAGTTGTTTACAGTGCTATATAATGAGGTTTGTGTGAATGTGGTTTGCATAGCCAAGGATGGTTTCTATATGAGGTTGAACTGAGGCTGAGCATACAATAATAAGTAGACATGCCTGCTTGGAAAAATCACCAGGGTTTTCATGAAGGGGCAGGAGAGGTTCTCTGCATAATATAGTTTATGCCAATTCTTGATTACAGTAAAACAAGCTCCCCCCCACCCCACACTAGTTAGCTAGCTCTTGTATTTATTACCTGGCTTTATCAACAGAATTTGGCAACAAAAGAGCCTTGGTGGCGCAGCAGACTAAAGTGCTGTTAAATAGCACCAGCTGCCTGCAATTACTGCAAGTTCAAATCTCACCAGGCTCAAGGTTGACTCAGCCTTCCATCCTTTCGAGGTAGGAAAAATGACCCGAATTGTGGGGGCAATAAGCTGACTTTATATAAAAAAGAACACCTCTTGGGGGGGGGGCGAAAGCCCTACTAAGCAGGTATATACAAAAGTATGAAGGCTATTGCTTAACGCATTGTAAACTGCCCTGAGTCTCCGGAGAAGGGCGGCATATAAATCGAACCAATAAATAAATAAATAATAAACAAACAGCATATAGGGTTTTTATTTATCCTAGAGCTCTGAAAGATGGGGGAATAGTGTTGGCTGATCTTATTCTGAGGCCTCTCTTCTGTTGATTTTTCCCCCCAGAAGAGCCTTCTTGTAACACAGGGGGACTCCTTTCTGCTACTGCTATGTGTTTTTTTAAGTGTTTCCACTCCAAAACCAGTTTGGTATAGAGTGTAAGGCACCAGCCTAGAAACCAGGAGACCATGAGTTCTAGTCCCACTTTAGACAAGAATCCTGCTGGGTGACCTCAGGCCAGTTATGCCCTCTCAGCCCAGGAAGTAGGCAATGGCAAAGCATTTATCTTGCCAAGATAAGTCAAGATCTTGCCCAGACAGTTAGCAGGAGCCAACACTGACTTCTGAGTGCAGACACACAACTAAGCACACGCTTCAGAACAGCAAGAAACAATTCGGCATTGTAGCTGCTTAAGGGACTTGGAGCTGCACCTATTTCAAAATATTCACTTATAGTTTCTTTTGTTTTGCTTTTTAGTATGTCTCATTTTTTATCAGCATGCAGAAAGCAGACACCATTATGCAAAGAGCATATTGTATGATAAATTTTCTGATGCATCTGTCCAAATAATTTAATGAAGGTATTAAATACTTACTTGAAACATAATCTCTTTTAAGGAAATTTAGGGTTTTAAAAAGTATTGAAGGGAGGGATAATCTAGGTAAAGAATTGGTCTGCTGTGCTTCCATACTGAATTTGAAAAGAATGCTACTAACTCCTTTTTCTGAAAGGTTTGGGATGAGTATGTTAATTTCCCCCAGTCAGGGAAAATTAAATGAACCGGAGTTTGATTTACATAATAGTACTTCAGATATTTCTACAAGAGTATGGAGGAGGGTATTTTTCTCCTCAATGCTGTGGTATAATGTTCCAGGATATCCAAATATACATATTACCTGCTCAATTATAGTGTGGCTTCACTAGAGGGCAGCCTTACCCTTTGTGATACAAATGGACAAAGAGCACTTAGAAAATGTTCTATTACTTATTTTTTGCCTGAAAAGTAGTAGAGAAATGTTGCATTGTTTAGACAATGTCTTAACAAGGAAAATCTCCGATACTTCTTCATCTACCGCAATATGGAAAAAGCCTTGTCTGGTGCTTGCTTAAAAGGTGACTATGGTATCACAAAATGCAAAACTATGGAGCTAAAATTACTACATATGTGAAATATCAGAAGAGTAACCTAGAGGCAAATTATGCTAGTTATTATCAAAAAAGCACTAAGGATGGTTGTTGGTTTGTTTTTTTTTTTTTGAAAAGAAGCTGAAAACAGACTGATTTTAACATTCCCAAATTGTCTAAGTGCAGTAAAGAGTTGTTTTTGTTCTAAGGCATTTGTACACCCTTAAATATTTGAGACTATTCCACTTGCTAAATGGAAAGAAAAAAAAACAGACAGGATAATGTTTAAATTATATTGCAAATCCATGATTTTAATTAGATTTGCTGAGCTGTTCTCAAAATGTAGAAAATAGACACAAGACATCAACTTTATAGTGATACTTTATGCAGATGTAGACTGATGCAAATGTACACACAGAAGATGAGTAAAAAGCAATAGATTTAATGAAATGGGCAGTAGACCTCCAAAAGGTTATGATTCTCAGGGTAATTAGAAGTGAATTCACGTGCTATTGTTTAACTCAGGTACCTAACAAATTGAGTTCTGAACGTATTCAGAGATTCCCTAATTTTCAATTCTTTTGCATTTTGTTCTGGTTAAAAGGATCATGAAATATTTTACATGTCTGTATGCATGCGCTCGTGCGCATGCACGTACACACACATTACTTTGCTGTGTACCATAATCTGAGACAATCGCATGCCCTTTTTATAATTTAAATACACTTCAGTAAAAGAGATGTGTCTGCAATCTTCATGCTTTAAAAGGGCAGTGACCCTGAGGAATAGATTTTCAAGTTGTGCCTTTAGAATATTTTCAGGTTGGTTTTGGTTCAAGTATTATTGAAGTTTAAAGACACTATTACTTATTCAGGTATAATGGTCTCTTTGATTTAAAAATATCTTAACCCCTTCTTTGGCCTGTAAGTCCAAAGAAAAAAATGTGTCTGTTCTTGCTACTATATTCAACATAGAGTTGAGCAGCCCAGAGCAAAAGCAAATTATTTTCTGTGGTCTAAATAACTTGAGCAGAAGGTAGATCTGAGTCTGAGAGTAAATTAGTCAGCAATTTACATTAGATTGGCAAGGATTTTTAAATCCCAAATGTACAGCCACAAGAAAATTACTTCCCACTAGCTCTAAATATCTTGATGAAGTAAACACAGTTTGAAATAACTAAGAGTGTAGAGCTATAGGGCTGTGAATTCTCTTTAGGTCCTCTGTACATTCCTTGGCTCAGAATTCTTGAATTTTAATTGTGTGCCTGCGTTCACCCCTCATGCTAAGACAAAAAGTAAGAATGGGCATTTTTCTGGCTGAAAGCTATACAGTTGCAAGAAAAAGTATGTGAACCCCTTGGGATTACATGGAGTTTTGCATGAATTGGTCATAAAATATGCTCTGAACTTCATCTAAGTCACAACAATAGAAAAACACAGTCTGCTTAAAATAATACTACACAAACATTAGATGTTGCCATGGTTTAATTGAACATTACAATTAAACATTACAATTAAACCACAGCAGACTGTATTTTTCTATTGTTGTGATTTAGATGAAGTTCAGAGCACATTTTATGACCAATTCATGCAAAACTCCACGTAATCCCAAGGGGTTCACATACTTTTTCTTGCAACTGTACTTAATATTTTGTGGGATGTAACTTTTGGGACATTTGAAAACCATAAAAGACGGGGGAATGACACAAACTTAATGGTACACTATGCACATAGACGTGGCCAGGATTATTTCATTGACTGTTAGGAATTTAGGGTGATTTGTTTTCAACTTTTGCAAAATACTATGATCCTCATGGTCATTTGGATGCTTGACAACTGGTTCATATTTATGACTTGCAGCGTCCTGGGATCATGCAATCCCCTTTTGCAACCTTCCGACAAGCAAAGCCCCAGAATCTGGGGAAGCCAGATTCACCTAACAACTATGTTACTAATTTAACAAATGCACTTTGTTAAATGCACTTCACTTAACAAATGTGGCAAAAAAAGTTGTAAAATGGGACAAAACCCACTTAACAAATCTGTCACTTAGCAACATAAATTTTGGGCTCTGTTGTGGTTATAAGTCAAGGACTACTTGTAGTAACTAGGATTCTAGCTACACTTGAGGGAAACTTTGATATTTTTAAAATGTAAAAAAATTGTATCACTGGATAACCCCAAGGTGCTTTTTCAGGAGGCAACTGGACTTTTTGGTTTTTCTTTGAAGACATTTCGCTTTTCATCTGATGGTGGGGAATGGAAGGAAAGGAATGGAAGAAGCGAAACATCTTCGAAGAAAAACCAGAAAGTCCAGTTGCCTCTTGAAAAAGCACCTTTGGGACAACCATGACCTGGATGACCGAGAATCTCCATAGACATTTATCATTGGATAACTGGTTTAGTGCAAAAGTACTAGGACATTCTAGCTCACTATAGTCTTTCCCAATTTTGTGAAGGCTGAAATCGCAGAACAAAGGGAAGTGGAAAGAAATCCTAGGTGTGTCTCTCAAAAACTGCAGCTATCACTTTATCTTTTTTTGTAACTCCTTTTAAAAACAACAACAATAACAACACTGAATCAAACTTGCACTATGACAGAGAGGGGTGTAAGGGGAGGTGTCTACAAAGCAGCCAAAAGACAGTTTCTGAAGTCAGATCATCCTCTGGTGCTGTGATTGTTGAATGTTTTTTTTCCCCCATCAACTCTTGATACACTGAAGACAGAAGGCAGCAAAGCAAGTTCTTCTCTTGGCCCAACACAAGTGATATCTGCAAAAAATGAGAACAACCCAATTCAACAGTGACTCTAAACAGATGAAACAGACAGAGGATATATCTTCCCTTTTTCATCTTATTTACACTAGCAGTCAGCAGTATGATATCTATGGACAACAGGCATTTCCAGAGAGTCTCACTTGTATACCCCATCCTTTCAATACCTACTCCTTTTTTTTCTGGAGAACTTTAGCCTTGGGCTTTTAGAAAGAATCTAAAGGATGAAAGGTCCTCTTGAGGAAGAGGAGCAGGCTCTTGTTAGGCTCCAGAAACCAAGAAAGACTGAGATTCTTCTAAGCAGTTTCCTTTATTGTTCCTCATTTATTGATAGAAATTTTGCCGAAATAAAGTAATCTACTTGTACCATTATAAACATATACTACAAGGACTACTAGGGAAGAGCCATCTCCCTTCTTTCTCCCACACAAACTATCTATAAACT